CAATTCAAAAAACGTATTCAAATTCATGAGCATTATAGAATAGTTAAAATTCAGATTTTATTAAACAATATCTGAATTTAAACAATTAAATGATAATGTATATTTGAAGCATACCTTTTGAAATATAATAAATTACAATAAAGTCTCGATAGTACTGTATTAACAAGCTTAAGAAAATCACAAATGTTTATTAAACTCACTATTCACAAAACATGAAATATAGATTTCATTGTTTCTATGCATTATATTAGTGTATTGATAACTATTATATTTATATTATAAACAATTTTTCTATAACATTTAATTGTATTTTATCACTCATTTAATAATTAATAATGATATTGTCTTACCTCAAATGAATTATATATTAGGTAGAATTATATATTATGAATTTAATAAACGTACAAAGAATTCTTAACACTATTTTTAACAAAATATTATATTTTTATGTTTATCTGCCCATGTCCTTAAAAGTAATCAATAAAATCAAATGTATGCAAAGATACATTGTTATATTGAAAATATTGTTTTAATAATCGATAATACTTCAAAGGAATTTTTATAAATAAGGCCATTGTATATAATATAACTTATGTATCCCGTTACAGGTAAGTAGTAAAAAGGTTCTTTCCCAAAATTTCTAGGCGATTAATTATGCGAGATGACCTTCGAGGAGTGAAAGCTGCATTGTTATTTGTCTGCTTCTCTTCCTTGTCACTCTACTTCGAAGTGATCTTTTTGCATAGGTGAATGTCATTATTAATTTTAATAATAATATTAATTTATAATTTAAAAATAAATTTTTTTATTTCATGTAAGTATTAGGTTAATTTACATATAGCTGTATACAAAATATGACTTAATGTATATTTAATACTTAAAAATTTACGTAAATACCTAAAGATATAAATAAACTTAGTAAAATGATATCAATAATAATGTATCTCTATATGACCCGTTGTGAAGCTCATAACATACTCCTCTCTCTCTCTCTCTCTCTCTCTCTCTCTCTCTCTCTCTCTCTCTCTCTCTCTCTTTCTATCTACAATTCCTTAGTTTAATATCTATGTATTTATTGTTTGGATCTCTTTTCCTACATGTACGCTTGGCTGCCGTGAAGCTGTGCGACTAGGCGTGTTAATAGCCTATACAGAATGTCGCTCCAAACATCGAAGGTATTCTGTTTTTTTATCAGAACCTCTTTTTTCTACAGTAAATTATCAGTAAACTAATTAATCAATTAATTATTTTAGGCGTTTTGTTTAAATTAATTTTATAATAAATAAAAGCAATAGTTTTATTATGACTTATCGTAAAAATGCATATCTTTCTTATTATTGTTTTATAATATATTAATTTAACTAAATGAATAACTAGTAAATCCAAAAGATAATGATATTAATAAAACTATTGCCAACTAATACTTCTAAAGTGCACTGACATTTATATTACTTTATGTGTGTTACTTCATAATACACGCGAAACAAAATTGTATAAATTTATATAATTAAATCACAGGCTAAGAAAAAACCGACCGATAAAAATTTAAAAATAAAAAATTATTTTCTTTATTTTCTTTGGTTCATTCTTACTCAATTCATTCTTAAAATAATACATACTATAATTAAACTTTAGAAGATGAAATAAAAATTAGTATTCATACTACCATAATCTATAATATATATACTTAAAAGTATAAAATTAATACTCAAAATTTTTGATAAGATACATACATATGTTTTTTTATTTAACTTATCACTAATTGATCTTTATAGAAAATTTAATAGATCATTTAATTTACAAGATACTTTAATAGTAATAATATATTTATTGCATGAGCAGTTTTAATTTATATTTATATTTTAATTTATACTTTGTAAATGTAATTTACCCTTCCGTAAATTATCAGCTTCTATTTTTATATTTTAAAGGCCAGTAAATATCAAGTTATACATTTTATTTGCTCCTTTTTTAAATAAAATGTTGAGCTTAATTTTATCCACCATCTTTTATTATTCTATTATTAATCTATAACGCTGAAAATACAAGTTATTGATTTTATTGTAAAATTCTACGATAATAATTATTATACACGATTAAAATTTACTTTTAGTAAAACTATATAATTTTTTTTTATACATTTTTTTTTAAAAAGGCCATTGAAAGACAAAATTGATGGTACAAAATTTTAAGTGTAATAAAAATAAATAAATGCTTTAAATAAAAAATCTAAAAACCCTTTTATTTAATTTAGAAATATTTAATACTTATACTGGATTATAAAAATAATGCAGGAATCAATATAAGATTATCTTTCTTATTATTATTAGTTTACTATTAATAAATGAAGATAATAATCAAATTATTATTTAAGTCCTAATACTTTACTAACAAAAATGCAAACATTGCTGAATAATTTTTTATTTAAGATATCCATGTATACATGATATTAAAATTGTAAATGAATATGTAGTATAAGAAGAGAATAAAAATTTTTTATACGTTTATAATTAAGAAACTAATCTATTGTACTTATTATAAAGTATATATTGAATACATGTATTAACCTTTTGTTAGAAGCCCACCATATTAACATTATTTCATTCATAATACATAATTCCTTGTACTTATATCACTTCACTATAAAACACGCTCCAATATATGTAATTAAATAAATGACATTGTAAAACACTTTAGCCTTTTCTTTTTTAAATATAAATTATACATATACATTTAGAAAATTAACCACCGATTTAACATAGTCTCAGTTTTTTGTATTATTTGAAATTTATTTATTAATTTATATTTATATAATAATATACATGCATAAACATGACTATAAAATGAGCGTAAATTATATATCTATTTAATTTTATAATAATATATAAAGTATGTGAAAATTTTTATATTCATTACAAAAGATAAATAATAATATTATTTCAGGTATTAAATAATAAATTATTCAATTAATTAATATTTTTCTCTCATAACAGTTTTTGTAACAAAACTTCTTTTATTTACTTTCTTTGCTACTTTTAGAATCTATTTTTCTCTATCATCTATCATTACATGAAAATTTCTTAGCTTATATAATTTAAAGTTAAATATTCATCAAGGTAACATCTATATTGCATATATTATTATATAGAGAATAAATATCAATTATTAATTATTTGTGTACTATAATACATATGTACTAACGACTTACCCTTAAAGTGTTTAAACTTCTTTTAAACTTATCAATGATATTAATTATACTTTTGAAAATAATATATTTTTTGAGAGTAATTATATTTCAATAACATATCATAATAAGTTAACTTAATATTATATTGTTAATAATTTACAATTAAAAAAGTATATTAACTTAATTTAAAGGCGATATTGAAAATCAATTGATATTTACAACCATCATTCTGAGAGCAATGTAATTCAATTAAAATATTAAATTACTATGATTGTCAAAAATATTTACTACAGTCAAAATTTACTATTTATAATAATCAAAAATCCAATTATTTATTTTATTTATAAATGCTTTCATGATTATTTGTTGAAATTTCATATTATGATAAAGAAATTTCATGTTTATTTATAAAATATCCTTTGATAACATAATAGATATATAGTACTTCTTTATTATTAAAAATTTTAATTTAAGAAAATTGTCAAAGCAATAACATTATTTCTACATTATTTCAACAAAGCACACTAATTATTGTGTTTATTATTAACTATTTATAAAACATGAATAATATCTTATAAACTATTTTATATTATTTATAAAATGTAAAATGATCAAATTTAAAATCTCTAGCGTTGGTTATATATTTTATTGTTAACTCCAGTCATTTATGTTTGAATGTGTTATTATTATACTTAAATAATTTTATATTTCTATTTACTCAATTAAATAAAATATGAATATATTTTTGGTTTTACTGTACTACAATATTATTCAGTTCAAAATAAATTTCTTATAGACAATTTTACGTAGAAAATTAAAAAGAAATGTTATATTATGAATAAATTCCTTCAAATTTCGATGAAATTATAAAAATCGATTAATAAAAAATTAATCGGTATATTTTACTTGGCATATGTAACTCTGAAGATATAACAATCTATATAATATAATTAATTACCATTTACAAGATCAACTATTTTATCATTGATATTAATTATAGTTGGAAGCAATTAAGTCGGAATAATTGCCAAATAATATCAAAAAAGGACACGAATATAATTGTATTTAATGTATAATTTAATATTTAATTTTTCATATATTAAACACATAATATAAAAAAAACTGGAAGTTCTAAATTATCTATTTCATGATACATTAAAAATTGTAATAGTATTTTATTTTAAATTATTGAAACAAATAAATAATAGAACAAACATATTTTATATATATAAATTTTATATAAAATTAATTGTATTGATGTTATATAAAAAATATCTTAAATAGAATAATGTATAAAATTGAAGTGCATATTATCAATACTTTTCTAAAATTAATATTCTCAATAAAATAATTGTTATTTTAATAATTGACCAATATTATCAATAAATAATACTGAATATATATATATATATATAAACTGCGGTTTTATTATAAAATAATAATATATATTTGTTATAATAAAAAAAATAAAGGATAAGTCTAATTGTAATTTATTAAATACAAATATTAACTACAAATATTAGAGTAACTTTATTTTTAATAAAGAAATTAAATATAATTCAAATTTTTTTATGTATTATAAAATTTATTACTGAAGTCATTATATTTTATTAAGTACTTGAAGAATGTATACATTTAAAAGACAGTAAATTTGATTTTAACCACTAATGTATTATACGGCATATCTTTTATTTGGGTTGTATTTACTTTGGGTGAGTAAACTGTCGAATGCAAATAATAAAACGCATTATGATAAAAATACTTTTACAAGACAAATAGAGTAATCGTGTATATACTTTTTACAGAATGCACATCACTGGTACATCGTCTCTTACGTTTGTGGTTTTCATGGCATCTGCCCTCGCTGAGCATTCAGCGCCACAGATTGTCCAGAAAATCACTAGAGACCTCACTCATGTCGAAAGCAGCAAGCTGCCCGACCCCAGATTCGATCTGAATAAGTATCAGGTATCTGTTTATTTGACCTTTTTCCTTTACCCTGCAGTTGTAAGTACATGTTGAAAGTATTATGGATATCAATTTATATTATAAATAGTTTATAATAATTTATATTATGAAATAGTTCACTACAGTATATATGTGCGTATTTATTTATTAGAGTGAATATCATTCTTCTTTTTATTTTTATTATAGAAATTTCTCTACAATGTTTTTAATTTATATTATAAATATGTCTAAACTTTTAGATTAGAAAATTAAAATTAAATATATTGAATTTAAGACATAAAATTTAATAAACCATAATGAATTGTGAATAATAGTTTATAATTATTATTTTGAACACTTTACCAATAATAACAATTAAAAATATTTGCTTATTTAATTTCATACATTTTCTGAAATAAAATAAGTCTTTTTTCAATATTATTATTTATCTTCCACTTAAAAAATTGTTTAAATTTGATTAGTAAAACTAAGCTCTATAATCTATATATATATTACTCTTGAATTTCATAATTTAACAATTAATAATATATATATATATAAATCTGTAAAAAATTACAAACCAAAAATTTTACATAAATTTCCAAAAACTCCATCCAGTTTAAAAATATTCTAAGATATTTTTAAAGTTAAATTCTATATGTTGTGTTCTAGAAAAATTGTCCTGAATATAACGACATTTTTCTATTTCACATGAAACTAACAAACTTTTTTCAATTTTATAATAATTATAATATAAACAATATGTAAATATTTGTCATTAACTAAATATATAAAAATATAAATAAAAAATATATAATTATAATATTCTTGTTTATATTTCTTGATTATTAAAATAACGCGCATTGATGTTATTTTTAATTATTATGTTGATGTTAATAATTTCATGAAGAAGTGAAATTTATTTTTAAGTATATTTTAAATAATTCAAATATTTATTTCTAATCATCAATTTATTGATCAATCAATCAATCATTCAACTTCATGAACCTTTCAACAAAATATTTAAATTTACAATTTTATAGACAAAAATATTAAAAAATTAAACTTTGAATTCAAAGTTATATATAAAGTACGCTTTGTATTTTTAGAGTTGTTTTCTTGCGTATTTTATAATTTCTTTAAATACACATTTGGAAAAATATTTAGAATTAGTTTAAAATATTTTGAATTTGCTAATTTAAAATATCTTTCAAAATTAAGAAAATGTTTTAAATATTAAATTTAAGCATCCAATGTAAATTGAATTGTATTACTTTCTTTTAATAAAGATATTTAAATTTTATATTTTAGTTATAATAATTAAATAAAATAATTGAAATAAACAATAAATTAAATAAACTGTACGTACTTACATCTGAAGATTTTTAACTTATATGGTGATATACAAAATGAATACTTATTTCTTTAATACTTTTACTACGTAGGAATTAATTTAGTGACAAATAGAAGCCAAAAATCATAATAGATTTTGAATAATTTATTCTTGCGCCTTATTTTTTGAATTTAAATATCTGTATATTTAATTAATTATCCAAAAAAAATTAAAGGTATAATCTTGATGTTGCTACTCCGTATAAATACTGAGTAAGGCAAATAATTTTATATCTTAATTGACGTAATTAATTGAGACTCACTGACTCGTCTAATATAATTAGGTACAGGTTTTCCAACAAGCCCTTCGCCTATGCATTATTCATTATGCAGTTGATAAAGCAGATGAAACGAGATTGAAAAGTACAAAGCATGAAAAAGAATCTGATGCGCTGGTGTTAAATAGGAGCTGCATGAGGCGAACAACAAGCACCTGAGAGTCCCGGACAGCTACCTGGAACGTCTACTCTTGGAACGGATGGAGAAACGATCATCCATGCGTGGATTCCAAGGTATGCGCGGCAAAAAGAACGAGTTTGATTTGCCTCCATTCTTCGCTGTGCAGATTCCGGAGTCTTCGTACAATGGTCTCGGAAATTACTACAATAAACGAGCACGTATGGGTTTTCAGGGGATGAGGGGCAAGAAGGACCTTGAGGAGGTACGTTTATCTACTTCGTTTTAACTGTATATAACCCCAGTTATTTTTTAATGTATGTCAGTAAATATATAGCTATTCTTTAAGAATGCAATAGCAATTTTGCTTTGTACTAAATGTATATATATATCGTAAATCCACGTAAACTATTCTTCGTGGAATTTCTAAGTAATACTATGTCAAATATATCAATTCGGTTCATTAATTTGAACGAGTATGTGTTTTTTATTATTTTTGTAATCTTGGCTTGAACTACAAATATTGTAGAAATAACTATTAAGTAATGAAATTTTTATCTAATACTAAAAATATTTATTATTAAATTAAAAATTTCTCTAAGTTAAAAAATAAGTAAATCAAATGTGTAAATATATGTTGTATATTATAAATGTTTATAAAGCTTCAAAGACAAATATTCATTTTTAAATTATACTAATTCAATTATACAGTAAAAAATTTATATATATATATATATATATAAATATATGCATATATGCTAAGGTACATAAAAAATAATGTTAAATTTTACAGTTAAATCGTATAGGAACACAATTATAGTATAATATTGAATTTTACCCATGAAATAAAAAGATAAATTAATTAATAAATTCAATCAGATAACCAATAAATTAAATTTGTATAGTTTCAAAGTTAAACATAATTTTTAATTTATTTGTTTTTCAAAACCTTATATATACGTATTTCTTGAATAATATAAGCAATTATATTTTCTTAAAAGCGTACTCGGCATATCTAAAAAAAAACATAATATAATAATCAATTATTCACAATTTTATTTTAACTATTCAATATAAATAATAAATTATTTATGATTTTATTTGAACTAGTTAACATAATTTAAACAATTAACTTTCTTAAATTAAATTTATTTATTATTTATTTCATTTTATTATATTGATCTTAATGTTTTTCTTCAAATCATGTCTACATAAATATCGTTCTTTGTATACATCTTTAGACATAACTCAAAATTCTTTTAATTTTTTGTTTACTACTTTTTGTTTAGCTATATAATTAATTTATTTAATTTAAAATAATAAACATATACATTCCTTTAAATCGAATCAAAGATGTTTTTAATTTTATAACATATTTTAAATATATTTTATAAAAATATAATAGAACCAATGTGTTACGACATATAAATAGTGATTATATAATTAGATGTATAAAATATTTTATATTTTAATAATAAATTTTATCTTTTTTGCTATATTTTTTAACGTTTTATATATGTTTTATTCACGTACATCAGTTAAAAATTTATCTATATTAAACGAATGAATGAAATTAGATAGATGTAATCAATAAATGTAATAAAAATTAAAAATTTTGTGTAATTTTTTTATACAATTGCTAAGTATTTTATTTATAAAAAAAATTAAAAAATCATAATTTCCATTGAAAATGAATACAATTAATCTTCAGACTTCCTTCATAATATGATATATGATGAATATTATATATTATTAGCCTTTATATTGTATACAATGAATGTGACATGCACCGAATCAAAAGATCTTTTTTTTTACATACAATGAAGAAGGCGAACTCAAGAGATCAAATACTTGAAAATTGAATGTTGATAATATAAAAATGAATATAATTCGATTCCACAGATGCTGAATGAGATGGAAAAACGTTCAAAAATGGGATTTCAGGGCATGCGAGGAAAGAAATCTGAAAATTACGAGGAGCAGGAACCACAGATCATCGAGGAATACCGTAAGCGAGCACCTATGGGTTTCCAGGGTATGCGAGGTAGAAAGAGTAGCTTCCTCGAAGAGCTTGATGAACTTGAGAAACGAGCACTACTCGGATTTCACGTAAGGATGATATTAGTTAATAACTTTTTTACGACTGACTTTTAATGTTATTATCTTTCTTTTTATTAATTTGTAGTTTCATTGCTGCTAATGTATGCCGTTTCAAAGCAACTCTGAAATAGGCTATGAAGCTATTTATAATGGTTACTTTTTAAAAATTCTATATAGATACTCATATGTAAACTGAATGAATAATTTATGACCACACTTATAAAGAATTTTTTATATGAAATTTCATATTTCACAGATAAATACGGTATAATCATTTGAAAATTGAAGCAGTATGTAATAAAATGAAAACTACTTCATAAAATTATATACTTCTATGAAATATGAAAATTCTATGAAAATGAAAATATGAGTTCTTCTTAAAAAATTAATATTTATTAATAAGAATTATGAAATGTGGTCACACTAGTATATATATGTATGTATGAAATGATAAAAGTAATAGGATAAAAGTAATAAGCATATTTATCATTTGTATAATATCATTTATATATAAATTCATTATTTTTATGTAGATACATTTATAAGGAAAAATTTATATATATATATATCATAATTACGCAGCATCTTTAATTTCATTTTATTTTTTAAGATTTTCTATTCATGGTACTATCTACGTTCTTTGATATATTTGATTTTTAATTCTGATTATAATTCAAGAATCGTATATAAGTATTTATAAGTTTTTAATATAATGCAATATGTATTCTGCAAAAACAATTTAAATGTGATGTAAATTACATCTTAATAATAATATTGAGTTAAAATAATATTGAATTACATAAGATTATACACTTTTTATTTAATTTAATATTTAAAATAACTTTATGTTATATCAAGAAAAATATGGTTTCTTTGTAATATAATGTAATAATTATAATAGAGAATTAAAATTTTTATTAAAATATTGTAATGATGTAGTATAAGATATTAAAATTTGCAAATTAAATTTATTTTTCATATTTCTTTGTATTTATTTATTATTAACTACTTTTATCTACTTCTTTTTTCATTTTTTCTTATTTTTTTGATCATTTTGAAGATTTAATTAATTTCTTATTTGAAATCATTTTTTTTAATTTTCTAAAAGGTCTAATATATATTTTTATATAAATATTAACATAAAATAATTAATTACTATAGTATTCATATATATACCGTATGCAAATAAACTTGGTTACAAAAATGGAATTGATATCGATTGTATTACTTGTTACACGGAATTTTATATAGAACAAATTGCATTTAAAGTTATAATCGTAAATTAATCATATTACATACTTTATAATTACGTTATGAAATATGTTATAAGCTGTATTGTCATTAATTTCATTATTTTATTTTTAAGGCTGGAGAAATAGTTATTTTAAATTGAGTGTTTTAATCTATAATATCGAAAATTATATATATATATAAATATATAGATAGATAGATAGATAGATTTAATAAATAATATTGAAAAGTTTTAATATTCATTTAATTATATTAAATTGAATGCTATATGTAATCATTAACTCTTAAACGTTTTCAAAATACATTACTTACAATAATAACCGGAATGATTATTTTTATAGGGTATGCGAGGTAAAAAAGATATACCATATGAGCGAGAGCAAATACCAATGGATATTGATGGTTATGTAGAAAAACGTCCAATGATGATGGGCTTCCATGGAATGCGCGGCAAACGAAATACAAATTATTACGGTAAGTCTGTATATTGATATAAAATAATAGATTTAATACAAATTTGAATTCACAATATAATTGAATTTCATAGAAAGAAGTAAAGCTTATTTTAAAAAATTTAAATCAATTAAAAATTATATTAAATTTTTTAATTTATACCAGTATAAAATGAATATTTAAAAAAGAACCTTAATTGTATTGATTAATTGTTCAAGGGTTTACAAATTAAAGCATACTCTTAGATTGTACTATAAGCAGGCATAAATAATTTTAATAAAAAATGTATGAAATATATATTTCTTTATGTTTTTGATAATTTTAAATTAGTTTTAAAATTTATGTCAAATATAGAGACAAAATATATGAAGTGAAAATATATTCAGAATTATTTTTCAGTTGAGCTTCTCTTAAGTAACTTAAAATGGTATATGTTTAGCAAATATTGTTAATAAAATTTTCTTTTATCATCTTATCTTATATTATATTTATTCCAATATAAAATACCGATATTTCAATTAGGCTATCTTAGTTAAACTCATATATTAATTTCTCTTATTATTGATTGTCATAGTTGCATGCTTACATTAAACATATTTGTTTTAAATACATCTAGTATAATGAAAAAGCAGTATTATTAAAGCACTATTATATAACTGTATGCAAATTACACTTCTGTTTAAAATTTCTATTTAAAGCAACGAAAAAATAAACTACGCAGTTAATTGCTTATTAATAATCAGAAAACAAGAGAAAAAGAATCGTTGAGCGAAAAATAAGCAATTGGAACTTTGACAATCACGAAGTTGCTCGGGCGCGGCTTCGACCAGATATTTAAACAACATATAGCGAGAATGTGTTTTGTGTACCTCGGACGCTGGACCTGGCAGATGGCCGCAGGTACGAAAAACGTTCGCCCTATCGTTATTTCGGCAACCGCGGCAAGAAAAATCCGCGCTGGGAGATGCGCGGCAAATTCGTGGGTGTACGAGGAAAGAAGTGGACAGGGTCACCGAGACTGACCGTGCCGGTGAACATCTATGAAGAGCTAATAGAAGAGCACTAGGTAAAGCGAGTTAACGATTTAACCATTTTGTATTCTTTGCCAAAATGTGGCATCACGAGATTTTATTTTTTTCTGATAAACCATTGTAAGTCCTCAAGAAACGTATGTACAATTTTTACCAAGCATGGATTATTGAGCTCTTGTAATTTGGAGTCTTTCTGAACTTTTAAATACCAATTTTTTTCTTTTAGTAGATGGCGTGTAAGTGAATAAAAATATAAGTAATAATTATAAGTATAACAGTAGTAGTATTCTGCTTCGAAATCATTCGATAGGCTGCCCATTACTTATCGAATTTTATGTGCATTTACTTTTGAAAGTTAAAACGCTTTTAATACTTGGTAAATCTTTAATAATATACAACTCATTGCTTTATAGCGCCATTTTCTTCCGTGAATTTGCAATATTCATTTGATTGGCTTATTACTTTTAGCTATATTATAAATGTATGATTTGTATACGACTATATACACAAAAACTGAAAGATAGATTTTTAAGATAGGGCCGGAATCCCATGGTTAAGTGCTTTTTACTAGTACCTTTTCATTAAAATCTAATCGAACTTTTAATAAATAATAGTTTCATATAAGCAAAACATTATTCATAAACCTTAATCATAAAAACCGAAAGTTACTTTAGAAAAATACGAAGAATCTGATTAAATATTTCAAAATATTTCGTTGTTGCCTATTATACAACTATGAGAAACTCACCGTGCTACGGTTCTTTAATGCTTCTCATAAGCTGTACAGTCTAGTTACTTAATTTAATTATTGTATTTATAAATAGTAATACCCTATTTCGAATGCATTATATGTTATAACTTTGCAAAATAAATAATGTAACTAAATCCTTACATATTCTAATTTTAAATATATAGCCAGAGTAATGAAAACTAATTCAAATTACTGCACTTACACGACTGAATAACATTCAAAAAATTTAAAATAGGAATAAATTCCATATAAAAAATAAAAACTCGAAGCGACTTATGTATGGCCCAAAAGAAATAAAAGGACTCGCATTTTAATACAGAATTGGTTATCGATTGTCCACAAATGTGGCTACGGAGAGGATTGAGTGCCAGTAAGAGCAAGTGCCAGCGTGCGTCAGACATCGGGCGCCGTACAGTCGGATATATCTTCGCCAAAAATCTTTGCCCTCACATCATTGTACCAATTGACCTTCTCCTGTGTGATTCCTTCCTTTCCGTTCCCTTTTTCGTGCTGTTCTGTGATTCTTTACAAATACATGTCAAATTTAAATGTTAATAGATATATATGTATTATATTCTCCCTTTTATTGACCTTTGGATCTTTTTTGTAATCCAACAATTATCTTTGGCTTTTTTAAAAGATATAACTCAAATGTAATCAATTTAGTTTCAAGTATGTTTGATGTTTATTTTTCGTAAAAATGTTCTTTAATTATAATATTTATCTGTAAAGTTTGTATTTTTAACAAAGATTATTTTTATACTCGATATCCAAACTCGATAATTGATCATTCATTAAAAAACAAAATGTTCAATAATTTCTATTTTACATTTCCTAATATAGAACAATTATACTATAAATACATAACGATTATGTTATAGATATATGATATATTTTGTTGGCAGAAATTCGTAAATTCATATTTAATTTTACTTAGTATAATATTATCAATTATGTACAATAAAATAATATATAATATTAATAATATAAAATATATGATAGAAAAATATTATATATATAATACATATACAATTTATATTTAATTTATATTATGAATATATTATAATTTTAATTAATATTATATAAATAATACTTTTAATTCTGAAGTATTTTTTAATAATCCAGAATTTTTAATTACATTTTATTTACATTTCATGTAATATTAAAAAGTTTTCATAAATTAAAAAAATTATATTATATATGAATGAACATAGATGTACTTAAAGAAATAAAATTATATGTAATAAATTAATTTATACTTAATATATAATGGCAATTTAATGTGTCTATAAAAGTTGAATATATTAATATCCCGGTTTAAGTCTCCTAATTAAATAATATCCGTACGAAATCACTACTTTCATAATTTTACAAAAACTAATTTAATTAATGTGTTACGTATTTGTTAAACTAATCTTATAAATGTTAAGATTAAACTGTATTTAATCTTTAAATTTTATTTAAATTTTATTATTTCTTAACGATTCAAACTTTTATCTATACAACAGTCTATTTATATTTTTCTTCTAATAGTCTTATGCAATTATCATTTTTCTATAAAATCTTAGTTAACATTATTAACTTAATTAACATTATTGTAATTTTAATATTATATTAATTTTATTTCTTTTTAATCATACCCAGTTCAATTAAATATAATTGAAAAAAATAAATATATTTGTACAATGAATTAATGAGTAAAATACAATAAATGAATAAGAACTTTTAATTGTATATTTACTTGTATACCGATCTTTGATTACAAATGTTACATTTTTCATTCATGCAAATATTAAAATAAAAAATAAGTTTTAAATTTATTTATAAATTTATTCTTACGTCTATATATTATATGTTCCAAATATAACATTTTTATTTATAGATAAGTCAGATTTCTAACATACGATTCAAATAATGAATAGAAATAACGAAAAAAAATATATTATAAATATTTATGGAAAAACAAAATAAAACAGTAATAATCAAATATACCTACGAACTATGTAAAAAAGGTAAATTCCATTAATTTTAATGTACTAAAAATTTATTATAATATTTAATTAAACGAAAAACCTTATATATTAAAGTATATTACATAAAATTTATATATTATTTACAAAAACTCTACAAGCATATAAATCGAAAATTTTATTTACAATTCATTTTCTATAATTGATTTTAAGCATTTACTTAATAATGAATATTATTACATAATATGTAAATAATATAAACATTACACATAATATTTTTATTTCGTTGCAGTAATTTTTATTGTAGCACAAAATTAATATGAAGATTTTTCATTCAATATACAAAGCATCTATTAAAATAGTTTTTAATTTTATTTCAAGGAATGTGCTTGAAATTTATTATACGTATTTTGCGTGTAATCAAATAATACGTATTGTACGCGAGAAAATTTGATTATTTGTAAAAAAATAATTATTATTCTAAAATATGCTTCTGAAGTTTTTAATTTTTACAGAATAAAAAAATAGTTTTATTATTATTATAATTTCATATATATAGTCTCATCGATTTCTTGCCATTCGGAAAATATAACAATGAAAAGTAAAATATTTAGATTTGTGTGTTTAATCTATACTAGTAATTATAGAACTATATTGTAAAATAATTGAAAGAAAAGTATAGACTATATTAACTTATAATACATTAATATACATTTAAAGACAATTAAAAGATTTGGACTAAAAATTAATTATAAATTTGTATAAAATTAAAAAATAATCTAAATGGAAAAATTCATGACGATTAAAATCTATATATGAATTTTACTTATTATGGTATTGACTAAATACCTGTATATTTAAAATTATTTAATCTGGGTTGGAAAAGAGAAATGTAAATGTTATACCCGGATACAAAAATTCCATATAGCTTTTGTTTTTATATGTATCATTATTTGTCTGCTAGATAAAATTAATATATTAAACATACTTTGATAAAGAAGATCAATAATATAGTATTGACTATTCTTATCAGTTTTTTTATTAGATAATAATTAATAATGGGTTACAGTAAAAATTACAATAATAATTAATATTAATATGACATGAAAATTCATAAGATTTTAATAAATATTGCTATATAATACTTGAATTTAAATTTGTATGAAATTATAATGCAATTATTTATTTTGAATAGTAAAAGCATCACAGACTGGATAAAACACTTAAACAATAATTTTACTACTTAATGAAAACTGTTAACTGTTTTAAATAATTCTTTTTAGTAGATATCTGTTTATTGTATTAATTATATTTAAACTTTATTTTTATATTTTTTATGTTATTTATAAAATATGATTTGTATAATAAAAATAAGTTAATTTTATTCTTGAATTCTTTAATAAAGAAAAACTTTTCAATTAATTGTTGTACAGTCATTATTTAAAAATATTTTTTACTATTTAAATTTTGATAAAGACTTTTAATATCTATCGTATTCATGGAAATTTTAAATATTTAATTTGAATATTTTATTATTATAAATTATAATATTTCCAGATATTTTGCATTTATTTCAGCTCCATTTGTGAAAATAGAAAATATCAGTAAAAAATAAAATATTATTTCTAAGTACTTCAATAAATTATTAAAAAATAATAACTACAATATTTCTTGGATCATTTTATTTTTTCTGAAATCTTTGATTATACGTAAAAACTTTTTTCTTATCTCTAATTATAGATAACTATTAGATCAAAATATCTTGTAACTGTAATCATTTATCTCTTGATTTTTTTAAGATATCAAGATTTTTTGTTAAAAATGTTTATAAGGCATCAGTTTCTTTTAAATATAACTAAGTTCCATCTAATCTGATTCATATTCTGAATAAGGATTCATGTATTTAAGGCATTACTGGTTAATTAATGCTATTAAGTATAATACTGAAAATCAATATTAAAAAGAGTAATTATATTATTTCAAAATTCGAAACAGTGATTTTAAAATCGTAACTTAATAGTCGATATTTAATATATGTTTTCAGACTTTTTTTCAAAGAATAAAGTATAATTTCTAGACCATTATACTTTGGAAATAATCTTAATATTAGTCAAGTATTTTTAATTATTAAATTTCCACTAATTTTTTAAATAAATAATAACCAATATGATGTCTATAATTATTTAAAAAATTATAATATTATTTATAAATGAAAAAGAAAAATATGGAAGAAATATTAAATCAATAAAAAATTGTCAGAGATTTATTTTTATTACAACGATTTAAATGTCCATAAGCGATTTTAACATTTATTTCATTAGATAATTTGCATTCTAAAATACATCTGCACTTAATGCTATTGATAAGGCAGTTTAGTAACAATTTATATCCGTGATATATATTTTATAATAAGCAAGCGATCGTTTATTATTTACGTGAGCGTGTGTTATGTATAATCACGAAAAAGTTAAATTAAGTCTTACATATTTTTATTTATGAAATGTTGATATAGAATCATGCTTTTTCTATGTTATAATCTACATTGTATAATATTATTTTTACATTTCTGAATTTAGATCTAGTTATACGTTAAGAAGAAAAAATTAAATTAATTAATAAAGAAAATATTTTTTATACTAGTTATTCTTGCTTAAATATATGAAACATTTATTATCATTTTAAGAATAATTTACATTAAAAACTGAGAAGGCAATTAAGGTAATAAAAATTTATACTTTTAATCTATTTTCATATACAATATCTCTTTTAAATAACTAAGAAGTATAATAAAAAAACCTCTTAGATGCATCATTGATCAATAAAAAAAAATAAATAAAAAGTAAATGAATACTGATAGCAATAAAATATTTCTAATATATGTAATTTATTAGATAAAAATTGCTAGTAATTATGATTTATTACTGAAGGACACATTTATAAAATGTTCAACAAATACTAGTAGTTCAAAAGTAAACATTTTAAAAGCATCATTTTTAACATTTTATAAATCTTATTCCAACCTTACTTGAAGATAACAACATACTTATATCCTTACTTGTATCCTATTGAAGTAATAATGCTTTTAAAGAAAATGCAAACAAACAAAATCCATGGAGAATGATGAACATGCAAATAATTAATCCTCGTTTACTCTATTTTTCTGTTATAGAACAGCAGCAGTGAAGTTGCACTATGGACGGCTCTGAACGATGAGTAATGGCGCCGAATTTAGCACTGATCCGGGAGGCAACGACGTGGCTGGGGGCGAATTACGTCACATCCGACCCCGGCCTTTGCCCGCTGCTCTCTCAACGACCCCTTATAAAATATGTTTTTTAAAATTTCAGTTTTTTTGTTAAAGACTTTCAAACACTATTCACATTCGATTCTTTATAAGTCTTTTCCTTTTGTGCCTCTGAACTTTTCTTTGAGATATCCAGTATTATCATGATTCGTCGTCGATATATATTGTTAATATGCGGTTCAATATCTACTTGAAGTATTAAATTTCATAAATGACCTCTCCCTCCATGCTTAATTTTATTTTTTATTCGGTTCTACTTATTATTTTTTCAAAGATAATATGTGTATTTTGATTATTAGACTGTATTCGCATCTTATTGAGTTTATTATAAACTTAATTTATTTTATATCATACTTTGATGAAACTGAATAAGATAATTTACTATAGAATATTATTTCAATAAAGAATATATCGGTTTAACATGATCATCATATTTCACTTTTTTATTTCTTTATATTTATTGTTAACATGTTTTTAAAATATAATTAGATACCAATTGAAGCTAAATTTTGGAGAACAATATAAATAAAAATTTTATTGAAACAATACATAGTTTTCTTTTTATGGTGCGTGATTAAATTGGAAAATATTTTCATACATCTAGTAAAATTATTTTAATAAAAACAAAAGTCAAAAAGATTTTTTAGTAAACAATACATATATGCTGATATATCATTATTGAAAACTTAATTTATAATTTCGTATCATCTTATTATGTTCAATTTCAAAGATTAAATAAACCGATGTATCATTTATAAGCAATGCAATGTGAAATATAATAATCTAAGTGAAAAAGTTTATAACTTAAGCAATTAAGTTTAAACGTAGAGAAATAATTTATTAAACACATGCACACGCATACACACATAACTGTTATATGCATACATAGACATGAAACTATAAATGTTTAATGATATATTTTTCTCTAAATGTAAACAACTAAACTACATCCTGTAAAAGAATTGAATTTTTTCTACACAATATCATCAATGCTAATCGCCTTTACCATATTTTAATTCTTTTTATCCTACCGAATATGATAATCAGAGAAGAACATTTTTAGTCATAAACAATGAAGAATAAATAAATAAATAAATAAATAAATAAAAGTATAAATAAAAGAAGAAAGCATGGAAAAAGAATATGTCTATTCATAAATAATTTATTTTATACAAATATGTATATTTTAACACACTTCTGTACTTTAAGTTTTAAAAGAATTATGTCTAATCAGGCATTACTAAAGTCTAAAACATTAATTCTTTTATTTCCGATTTTAAAAAATTTCGATTAGAAAAATTGAATTGATGATTTTAACTTTATTGATAACTTTAATTTTAATATATATATATATATATATATATATATATATATATATATATATCAAAATTAAGGTCATCTATGTATTTTCCATTTTTTAAATAGAATGAATGAATTAAAATTATATAAGCTTATTTATAATGATATAACATGTCCCATATATGAAATTAATGGTTAACATTACATAGTCGGTAAAACCGTTATATATCCTTTTACTAAAACAGTATATCCTGAAATACACAAACACTTTTATAATATCTAATATTAATTAAAATATTTTCTAAATTATTTATTTAAAATATCTTTAAAAAATTGAAAAGCAATGGCGAATTATACAAATTCACAATTAGTAATGGAATAATTACATAATTAATTATTATTTTTATTTTAATATAATCCTTATTTTGTTGTAGGAATATATATTACTCAAATAAGTAAATATAATGAATATATGATTAATCTATTAGCATTATTTATATTTCAAATCTAATCGAGTTTTATGAGCAATAAACATTATTATTTATAAAAGGTTTTTAAAAAATATTCAAAATCATGTATCCATAAATGTAAATGTTTCTATAAAAAAATCAATTCAGTTATTTACGTATTATCTTTTGCATTTTTTAGTTAGTATTTGTCCAAGTGTAACATGATATAAAATGAAATTATTTGGTTTTACTAACAAAAATTACAGATTTATATTTAAAAAAATATTAAAGATACTTGAAAATATTATATTTATAATAAATGGTATTTTTTCTCATATCTGAGCCAAATCAGTACTGGATAGCAACGTTTTATGTTGTATATGTTGTAATATTCAAAAACCATTTGAGTGGAATAGTTTTATCCACTTTATTTTAATTCGTTTTAATTTATGATATATAAACTACAGAAAAAAACAATATAAGTTCATAGAATGAACTAGAATTTCACAGAGACGTTATTTAATATTTGAAAGTCTAGTAAAATCAGTAAATTTTTCTTAATGGTTCCAATAAATAATTATATAAATAAATGTTATAAATTCTGTTATATATTTTTAAATTATAAAATATATCTGTGAATATTTCGCCAACAGTTTGTTAAACCATTTTACATTTATTTGAAAAGTATATTGTTTTAACATTCGTAACAAACTAGAATGAATAAAATAAATTGCAATTATTAGATATACTAATGCATAATTATATCCAATTTCATACTCATGATTTCACATTTTTATTCATATTGTAAATTATCCATTTAAATTCACTATATCAGTGTTTGAAATCATATACTAATAATTTATTATATTATAAGCAGTTGCTACTGCAGCTTTAATACATGTAATAAAATAAATTTTACTAATGCCTGATATAATATATGTTATAATATATGATATAATATATGTTAATATATATATAGGATTTATGATAAAAATATTTTATTAATTAGTATTTCCCTTATCGAGTTGTTGATTAACATTTAATTTTATATATGGAAGGAGGAATTAACTTAAAAGAAAAATTCGATATACTTAAAACATTATTTTAAATATTAATAATGATATATCTCAATTATTCAATATTTCATAGTTACATATTAAACTATAAAGACTTAAACAAAAATCATTAACTAGATCTCCAATCTAATAATTGAAGTATCACAAGAAATAGAAAAATATTGAAACGCACCAACTGAATTATAAACATAAAAAACAACGATCAACAATGAAAATTTCATATTATTATCATGCAGTAAATAATTAAAAGAAATAAAATAAATTAAATTAACACTCTTTAACTACTCTTTTTAATGAACTTCTTATATATTTTTCCAATGAATGAATATGAAATAAAAGCGAATTATCATTTATATATAAGAAATTCTCACTTATCAATTGAATCCAGTACCTGGTTTATGAATGAATTTGTATTAAGGCTTTTAAAAATATATAATTTCAATATTTTTCTTGTGAAGCTAAATATGCTATCGAGTTTAGAGCCGAATCATGAGTGCAACATTCTTCTTTTCAGCACTTTCTCACTTCACTCCAAACACATATGGCTATCAATTATTGTCATTCATTTCAAGCTTTCCGTCCAATGGATACCTTCATCTAAGCTACTGTGAGAAAATGAACAATTTAATAACAGATTAAAATTTAAATCAAACTACAAAGTCATGATAGAGGTGGCCTCTGTAACGTGCATCTATGAATCGAATGCAAATTAAAATTGCCGAATGCGTTAGTATAAATAAAATATGTATAAGTGAAGAACTTCGTCAACTGCACAATGTAAATACAACCACGCTTATTCGACATATGATGCGACGGTAGAATTTCAAGAACCCATATATCAAACAGTAATTTTTATTTTCCATTCTTAAAATGCATGCAGAAACAAATAAAAAACGTAAAGATACATTATTCCTGTTCACATATCGATGTATACTGTATAGAAAGAAGTGAGAAATATATGTGTCTACAATACTTCAAATGTTTTATACTGTCTTTGTATTTTTATTATCTCGGCCCTAATTATAACGGTATTCCTAGATCGTAGATTTGCCTTTTATTATTATTTTCCTTTTACAGAATCTGACTTTACATACCTTTAATTGACATTGTAAATATAAGTAAATTATTTGAAATTATGGATCAAACTTAATCATGACATAAAACAAGTTTGTACATATTATCTATGAATATGTTTAATTTTGAATAATACATATACATACAATTTTTGATATCTCAATAATATATTCGTACATATGTAATTAAAGTATTTTCATTTTAAATATTTAAAATAAAATAATTTTATATTTAGACACTAACATTGAATATTGTTTCTTTTTGTAAAATAAGATTTTTATTTTTTAAAGATTATAAAATAATTATATACACACACGTATAAATGTATAAATACACAAACAAAATGTATAAATACACAAACAAAATGTATAAACAATTAAATATTACAAATAGTCTAGATACTAAATGTATGTAAAGTTAACGCACGTCACACGCACGGCACGCGCGCTCGGACCGGGACACGCACTCGGACGAATGTTTATAAACATTACTCGACAAACCCGAGCAAGTTTTACGACATGAAATCCAATATACTATCAGATCACACAAAGGAAGAACGCCTACGAAACTTCTAGAAGTTTCGTTTTCTTACCCTACAAAGAAATTTTCGGCATAACAATAAACGGCGGCACTGTTGCCGGCGTTACATTCCGCTGCATGTATATTTAAGAACAGCTTGCCATGCGGCGACGCTCATTGTAATCCTACTTCGCGCTTACTCAACTGTAATTGCCGCTCAGTGTTTAGTATAAACGGTGACGAAGACACGTGGCCATAAATTCAGCAGCCTAGTTAAAAATACACGTGCATAATTAAACAGGAAATCGGCAGATTTTAGTAGTGATTTACAGTGAAGCCAGTTGGAATAGTAATCAAAGAGCACATCAGCTACGCAGCAAATCAACACACCTTGTCAGTAGTTTATAAGGTACATTTTTTATATTAATAAATAAGCTAGTCACACCTCGCGTAAGAATAGATAGGGCAAACTTACGCTCTCTCGAACTAACACTTCGAAACCGTACAGGCCCTCAACAGTCGATACAAGTGCCGCTATGCGTTAAGTACATTGTCAAGGACAGACAACAATAGATCGACTAATCGACTATAAATACTATCATTAAATCATTCAAGAGCTCGAAGGATTATCATTAATGACTCTTACCTGTGACTAGACTTTTTTACGACATAATTGATTACTCACCAACTTCCATAACCATCTTCACCATATCAAGTATAATTATTCCGCATATCAACATACTTGATTCAAACACCATCTTCTCATGCTGTCACATGAGCATGATTGACTACACAGACTAATGTTTACATCAACATAACCTCAACTTCAAGACAGTCATATCCATAGAATCTACGATAATCAAGACTACAAGGACACCCCCTCATTACTACAATAGAATAATCTTCTCTCAACAGCATTGCAATATTATTATTATTATTAACAACCAATAAACATTGTTTTACTAAAATACATAATATTTTTCAGCCCTTCCACTTATTATTTCCTTTAAGGTTATCATGACGAGAGACTAATCCACTGAACTATTGAATTCGCAGTTCGAGCCATAAACTAAATCTTTAAAATCGAACAATAGATATATATATTAAATTTATACTGAAAGTATTACTATTTAATTTTAAACTAAAGTTATTTCTAATAAAATTTGTTACAGTATAATTTTATAAAATGTTCACCCAGCACTCCAGTGCTTTAACATCAATGAATAATTAGCAGTGTGAAAAGTAAATGCCTATTGAAATATTATCTAAGAAAATCGTTATTTAATTTCTTTAAACAAGGTTTTCATATTGTTTATGTATCAGAAGCGGCTTCCCTTTAATTTTTGTCCTATTATTTCCTACTTTTTTCTAGTTATGTTATATATATAACTATTATGAGATTTTGAGCTGTATCATATGATACTTTTTAGAAATAATATATGATAAATTCAATAAAATAGCAATGTAGCATAACTATAGACTATATTTTATGTACTATTTTAAGACTTATTTTATTATGCATTTACAGTTGCTTTTTATATTTGCAATTGCATGTGTATATATGCAAATTTAAAAAAATTAATATGCACACCTTACTAAGGCACATTATACAATATATATATATATATATATATATATATATATATATATATTGAATTTTTAATGAAATACTAATTAATTTAACTAATGCTTATAGCAATTTGATATATTCATGGAATAACAAATTATGTAATAATAAATAGTAATTTTCGATGTAAAAATTTTGAGTATAGTTGCAAATTCATGACACAGTGGCGTTGCTTAACAGTGCGACCGCGCACACAATATTTAGATATCAATACATGATAAATGCAAATCGACAAATTATCATTATTCCAGAAAACTGAATAAATATTGGTATTTTATAATTTTTAATACGAGAAAACGTTAGTCAAATAATTATTGAAAAAATTATTTTTTTCTAAGCTGCCAAATAATTTAGTTTATGGAAACTATAAGAATCTATTAGTGTAGGTTATCAACTATTGTACATCTTTTAAAATGGTACGAAATTTTATATTATTTATTATCTTACATAAATAAATTATTTAGACACAACTATTATTTAGAAATTTAGATTTCTTGGAGATGTTGACTGCCCTGATTGGTTACTTGCTGAAATTTACAATCTGTCTCAAATGGTATATAAATAATTATTTATCTATACATATTTATCATATGTATTACTCATTTCAAACAAAGAATATCAACTTTTTTATAGTCAGCCTCAAAAATGAAAATCATAAGTAATGTTGTAATTAAATCAATTACAGAGGAAGAAATTGTTGGTGTAAGTTATTTTAATATTTGGACCAATTAAAAAATAATTTCTGATTTTTGTTTAATTTTTTATAGGAGGAGCAGATAAAAAAACTTGTTCATGATATCAGATTAGGTAAGTTGTAAATACCAATCATTATTAAATACTGTATTAGTAAAATACTGATTAAATCTTCTAAATATATTCCAAACAAATAATTTATAAAAAATTATATCATAGATTTTGTTATAAAAAAACTTAATTTTTGTTACTTATAAATAAAATTATGAATCAATTGTACATGAAAAAAGTATTATTATTTTAAATCAAAATTTGGTTTTATTTAACTCAAATAAACTATGGTTTAGTCAATAAATTACATTTTTAAGTATCTTAAATATGAAATTAGATATTTGTAAAATTACATTCAGAAAATTATTGTGATTTTAAATTCCATTTAAAATATAAAATTTATGATCTAGAAAATTACCATATGATAATAACTTATCAAATACCTTTATATCTTTTATGAAGAAGTTGGAGAGATAAAAGCAGTTATTGCTGCTTTGGATATGATATTTACTTCATCAGCAAGAAATAGTGTGTCTTCTACAGATCTTAGTAGTGAATTACAGCAATTAGGATTACCAAGAGAACATAGTACAGTCATTTCGAGGCTGCACACTGAAAATTGTGCTCAACTTGCTGCAGTATTAACAATGCAGTCTTTAAGATGTAGGTTTGATTTTATTAGAAAATCATTTAATTTATCAATGTTATAATTATTTTTTACTTTTAGTAAGTAGATTGTCATCAATAGAAGCTATACCTTCTGAACCTACAACTCCATTTGCAAAAGTTGCATTAAAGATAAAAACTTTAGGATACAAGGAGAAAGAAACAATAATTAATATACCAAAAGATAAATTGAGTGAATTACTTACAGGTATTAAAAATCATTGTTCTTTATTATTTTTTATTAAAACAATTATTTAAATTATAAACATGATTTCAGAATTGAAAAATGTACGAACACTAATGGAGGAAGTACTACAATAATTTTATAGTACTTTAATAAAATAATAATTAATCTAAGATTGAAATTATTGTGTTTATGGAATATAAGAAATAATATATATAAATATTTAGCGATATATTTATTGAAACATAATTTTGATAAATCTACATTTAAATATAAAAAAAATTGCTTGACATTCTCAATAAACAAAATATATATTACTATTATATACACTTTTACAATGTATGATTGATATTAGATGAATTAAATATACATTAAGACACATCTGAAATAAAATTATTGAATAAGTTTATTTTATTTTTGGATAAATGAATATACAAAGTTTACACTTAGTTTTCAAGTACAACGTTCAAATAATATTAAGACAATATGGATAGTATCGCTTCTATTATAACTACGCCAGGTTACATTTTCTTCGTACTTTTCACTCTAAATTAAATAATTTTGTTATTATAAACAAAAAAATTTAATAACATGAAATTATGACACAATTTTCCACAAATAATCTCGACTAGTTTTAATTTAACTCGTTAAATGGCTATAACATAAGCAAAAATAAGAATTCCTAACAAAATTTAGTATATAATTTTTTATAATTATATTAAAACCTAAACTCTAGAAATACTTAAAAATAATCAATAATTATTTAAGATGGATTTGAGTATTTAAAAAAAAAATTCATTTTTTGTATAAATGTGTAAGCCATCAGTATTATTTTTATTCCTAACAAAATCCAAATGAATACTGAGGCTAATCTAATCAGTCTTTATACAATATTTTATTAACTTTCCTTTACTTATTTACTTCTACAAATTATTTACATTCTCAATAAATATAAATAACGATATATTTTTCGGAATCACATAATGCTGAGTGATTTTTTAACGTTTGCATACATATTTTTTAGTAATTTTATTTTAAATATGATAAAATTGGTGTACAGGCTAGTGATCTGATTCTGATTTTTTTCATTAATAAAAACATAGAAAGTAATTTGAACAACAGTCTTTCTTTGATAGACATTAACATCTTTTGTTATTTTAATTAATGTTAATTAAATTGTTGTTAGCAGTTCAAATTATATGAATAATTAATTTATACACTAATATTACAAAAATTTTCTTATCTGATTATAAATAATGCTATTACAAATATATAATATTTATTATAAAAAATAATATTTAAATTTATAATTATATAATCTTAAGCATACAAAAAATTTATACTTTATAGTTATTCTATATAAATTAACTTATAATTTACATAAAACAAAAAAGAATATAGTCTATATAAGAAATTAATACAACTTCATTTTTTCAGTTTTCAATTAAATATTCCCATGTATTACTAGACTTCTAGTATAACTAAATATAAAATCTATTAAAAAATGACTTCAAAATATATAAAATGCACCATACAAGTACAATTTACTTTAAAGTAACAAAGTGCTGGTTCAAGTCATAATTAAAAATTTTTGTTTAATAACAAAAATAAACTACATAATATAATTTTTTGTTAGCTTACAGTTCAATATAAAAATTGAAATAGCTGAATATAGATAGTAAAAAAATATCTCTGCAAAAAGATAGCATGTTCTCTTACTCTCCTGTTATTTGTTCATTCATAGTCAACAAATTCTGCTTTTTCTTATTATGATTTACTTTTACGATAAAAACATTAATCAGCTCAGATGTTTTTACTGATACGAAATTCAATTTAATTGAATATTACGTATGCTATATGATGATGATTTATGATGATAAATTAAGGTACGCTCGATTTTCGAGGTAGACAATTTTACATTTCTATTGTCATTTTTAAGGTTAAATCTCCTGACTTCTTGTTAAATTACAACTATTGGTTCTTAAATCACAATAAGTGGAACTTGATTATTACTTGCAATTTGACTTATTTTTTTATGAAATTTATTCTTTGCAAGGAATGTAAAATTTTTTTTAATATTTTTAATTATATTCTTACTAAATATTTTGTATAAGGTAAAATACACATTATGAGTTGTGCAAATGAATAGATTGCCATAAAAAATACTTCAATTTATGCAATATTTCATTTAACTTCATAGTTACAAATAATTTCAATGTAATAATATACCATTGCACGGTCGTGTTTAACACATTAGAATATTTTAACGCATGAAATTCATAATTATATTGGATATTAAATATGCCTTTAACAAAAATAGACTTAGAAACTAACATTTGCTTCGTGCGTACAAATTTTTTTTATTTTGTATATATATAAATACTGCAGACTTTACTTTGTTATTATATTAGTTAAGAATCAATATAAAAATGCAAGTGAACTTTTCTTCGACATCTTCTAAAAATAGAAGATTTATTTCCAAGAAAATTGATATAACATATGTTCGTGCACTGATATGGAAAGTTTGAAAAAAGTTTTGATTTATTTTTATTAATTTAATCCTAAGTTTATTAGACTTTAAAGTCAGAATTTATCTTTATCATTTTTTTTAATTTAAAAATTATCTAAAACAATAACCATAAACTTGCATAATTTATTTAATATTTATATAATTCATTTATATAAATGACTAATTATGATAATTATTCTTTTTTATTGATATATATGATTAAGTATATGTAAACGGTATTTTACTACACTGTAATCGAATTTTATATTTATATGTTCCATATTCTAAGTACTTATCAACTAAAATCTGTAATTATTAATAAGCAAAAAATATATAACATATAAAGTCCAATATTTCACATTAAATTTTTTATATATTCAATTATTGAATTGTTTTAATTGAAAAAATTAATAAACGCTTAAAATTTTAATTCACAACCAACTGTCTGTGCTGATAATATCGTTCTATATAATGTTAAAATTGATCAATCATAAAATTTCTATTATCGAAAATTGAGATCGATCGAAAGCTGTCCAGTATAATCTTTACTTTTAAAAGCTTTACGTTTAATCAATGTGAATGTTTTACCACAATCATAATTTCCATACAAACTACGAAACCTTTCATTGCTATTTGATTCATACATTGACGCTGAGAGATTGTTTGCGCTGGTCCATTATAGTTGATATGTACGATCAACAAGACATTTTATTCATCATGTGATGAATTTCGTGTTGTCAATCACTACTTATTGGTCATTCTCCAAGTATCAATCAAATATTTAAATTTCATCAGTTTTAGTTTAGTTATTTCTAATCCCAATAGATATATATTGCAGAAAAAATTTTAAATATTAAACATATCTATTACATTTTCGAGGATTTCAATACAGTACTTGAAAAAAAACTAAAAAAAGAAATTTTTTTTATATAAATACTTTTATAAATCATAATTTTTAAAAAATTGCATGACAAGAGCAATAAAAATTTTAAACATATGAAGAATATGAATTTTTATGCAATATAACTGTAGATAAAGTAATACTTTTGTAATTGTGCAATATTCTTTTTCTATTATTTTGAATATACGTTATGAGTGCTATAAATGCATGTATTATATTGTGTTTTATATTTTATATCAATAGGATTTACTTGTGATGAATCACAAATACATTTATTTGCAAAAAATGTACTAATCAATGATAAAATAAAAATATTAATAGTATTTTCTTTTCTCCTTTATTAAATAAAATAATGACTATACTAAATGTAATTACTTGTAAAAGAATCTCTCTAAGTTCTTTCAAGAAATGGCAGTAATCTATTTATAAATACTGTACATATTAAAATGTTTGAAAGTTTCATTTTTTTTTAAATAATACATTTAAATATTGAATAAATTTTTTTATTTTAAAATTCATTTTAAAATGGTTCATCAAAAACATAGCCATAGCAATTGATTTTTGCATTAATCATTGTATCTTAATCTAGCCTTAATTTCATCTATTATTTTATCACCTTCAAGGTGATAAAAAGATTCTGACGCATATTATATACATATTAAATTACTCTAATATTATAAAATATTTTTTTGAAACAAAGCATTTTAAATAAGTGCTTACAGCAATGTACATAGATTTATCGCAACAAAATATACAATGCTTTTTCTCGATATATAAAAAGCTTTTTTCCAGCCATTCATACAAAACGTTTTCAACTCAGTACCTTACAAACTACTTTCACTATTAGACATTTTTAATTTCTGTGTCTTCGAAATGTATACTTTTTATTTATTTGTAAAAATATTCCGATTTATTTTAATTTATCTATATTGTAATCTACGTTTTATCTTTGTTAAATCTGAGATTAATCTTCGTTTTATCGTAAATTTGAGTTTATTTGTTAATTTTTATCGTGTTTTTATAATTCAGTGAATGAGGAAAATAAAAGAATAAATAAAAAGTAAGTATTTCGAAGTGACAAAAAGTGTACATGTCGCTTCTGTATGCACGAACCTTAGTAAGAGAGCGATAGACAATGATTATATTATAATCATTAGAATAATTAAATATTTTCATTTTATTATTTTTACTTAAGTCTTTTTTGCTATATAAATACTACGTTTGTCATTACATTGTATAGATCATTTAAATAACAATGACATAATTTTCTTTATTTATGTTTCAAGGCTTTTATAAGTTATTATTAACTTTCTATCATTTGCGAGAGAAAATGTTAAGATTCTCGAAAGTGTATGATATATTCTGAAATAACCATTGCATCAAAAATGAGAAAAGGATTTCTTAAACAGATTTTGATATGTATTTTTTTTCCCAAGTCTTTATCGATAATTGTTTAATTATAAGTTTCAAATCCTCTTTGCTAAAAGTACCACTATTATCAAATATTGGATATATACCTTGAGCGATTAAATTTCCACATCTAATTTGAAGTTAATTACCATATCATCATCTGGGAAGAATATAATATATATCTTCATTGAAATATTTCCCTTTGAAAAGAAGGCAGTTATAATCCTATAAGAAACTCTTTATAGTCGATACAGATTTTTCAATTTCTATGATTTACATTATCAGCAAAAGAATCATTAGTCTTTCCTTTTAAAATTTAATCATAATAGTTTAGTATAGTTTTAGTATAATTATAATATTTAGATAAAATTTTTATTAAATTTAATAGTTTAAATTAAAAATTTATCCCATCGAATTTTTATACCATGCAATTATAGAAACTTAGTATTTAGTAATATACATTGTTAAAGATATTACTTAAACTTTAGATAGTAATTTTTAAAATAGCTTAACAATCAATGAAAAAAGTTTTTTGAACAAACTAAACATTGTTTGAAAAAATGGTTTTTAAAAATATATATAATATTATTTTATATAACATTCTATGTTTTATTTCGATTCTTAATTAAAAATTTTGAGAATAATAACTTACTAACATAATATAATTTCAAATAAAGTGTAATATAAAAATTGTAAATAATTCTAGATGATTTTCTTTTCAACTATTATTGAAAAAGCAAGATGTTAACATATATAATATGTTTATTAAATTAATACTATACCAATATTTGGCTTTACTCCACAGAATATAAAATTAGCTTTTATATTTAAACCTCAAATTAAATTATTCACAAATATTATATACTTGGACTCTATTTAATATAAACATTTGAAAGTTAATGTTTTCAAAATAACTCCCATAGAAGTTAAAATCAAATATTACCCAGAATATGTTTTTATTTAGATACTAGAGAAATTCAATAATTTAAAAATTACAAATATATCCTTAAGTAGGGTGAGTCATACTTGTATTGAATGTTTATTCCCATTGAAAAATTATTCTTATAATATCCTCATAATAATATTTCTGCTGTCAAAATATATTCAAACTATAGCAAATTACTTAATAATCGAATTACCTGTAGTCAAATTAATACTTAAATTTATTATTACATATCTTATGGTGAAGGCGAGACTCGATAATGCTCCATGGCTCAAACTACAAGATATTTGCACGCACAATAGTCAAACAATATACAAAATACGATCATTACATAGTCTTGAATAAAATCAACTGTTAAATTTATGCTGAATATTATATTTAATTATAAAACTCATAATTATCTGGTGATCAAAAATATCGTCACCTTTTAATGTGGTAGGCATGTATCGGAGTCACCGCTACTGGCCATGGAAAAATTTGCAGAATCCCGGTCAGACTGTCTCCCAATTGGTTGAGTAGCTGGGGTGAGTTTCCCATTGATAATCGGCGCTTGTGGAAATGTGTGATGATGGTGATGGTGGTGGTGAGGATGCTGCAGGTTTGCAGTACTTGGAAGAACTGCAGTCCATGATTGCTCTTGCTGATGCTGTTGTTGCTGATGCTGTTGCTGTTGTTTGGAAATATGACCCCCGATAGGTTGCACTGATGGGAAACGCTTGAGGAAGGGGTTCGTACTGCTTTGGGGCATCAGCCGCACCCCATTATGGTGGGAAGGAAGGGTCGTGTGACTTGGCACCGTCCCATGCACCGGTGGCGGTGGCTGAAGATGCTGCTGCTGAGATGTTTCGAGATGACCTGTATACATATAGTTTTTCAGATATTTGTATCTTACTTGTAAGTATTTTTCCTTATGGTAATGAAATTTTAATTTTGTAACTGGGCAGGCATTTTAAAATAATTTTTGAAATGTAATACTTTATGTTGTTTTTTTACATGTACAGATTACTTATTTCATCTAAAAATATCGTTCTAGCTGTATATTAAAATCTGATAAAACAAGTACGCGACTTCAGTAATTAATAAAACAATAATAACTAATACACAGACATATATTCATTAAATCAACCCGAAACTCTTGAACTCTTTATAAACAAATTTCTTGTGATCAATATTCTAAGTCAATCTTTTTCTTTTACAATTTAATATTATAATTAATATCACAGTTTTTTAACATATTTAATAATATATATAATTGAAAGATTGACATAAAATAATGTTTGTATTAAATGAAAGATATTACTTCAGATGAAATAATTTAATAAATATATAAGTTTCGACTGCATAATATAATTTAGAAAGGAATGTAAATAAATTCTTCTACATTTTATTGAATGCATAACCCTGCGTGACTTTAGCTTTTTAATATAAGATCAGCAGATTGAGAGCGAAAAACCTGGCACACCTGGATATCGTAATACAGAGCCGCAACTTCCACTGGAACCACTCATATTGGTATTTCCGAGAACGCTATTGCTGTGACTGGTGACATGGGGCAGCGGCATCGTAGAACAATGTGGGTACGTAACGACTGGCTGGGTGGGGTAATGTGGAAGTGTCGCTGAGGAGGCTTGGTTCGTCCTGAGATCATTGGTCTCTGTGAACGAAGTCATGCGCATATTGGTAGACCTACCGAAAGGTTCTTCACCTAAGGCTAAGGGTTCTTGAAGCTTGGGCCTTGCGGCCTTGCGTCTGATGACTACTGTTGCCTCATTTGGATTCTCCATAATAATCGCGGGGCATCCACCGGATAATAGCTCACCATTTCCGTAGACTGCCGCATAGCTGGGAGTTGCATTCATCACGAGTCGTGAATTTTTCGAGGCCATCGTACCTACACTCGGCCCCGGTGGCTGGATTCCTCGCTGCAGGGAACAACTGCGCCACTGTGCCTCCTCTTTTGGTTCACCACTTCCCAAGTCTTCGACACTGTTTGCGCGCCGCTGAGAACTCGCGTTGCTACCGTTGCTATGAACACCACTTGAAGAGGTTTCACTGTTACTACTAGTGCTATTATTGCTCGGCCCAATCACATCTAAAGGCGGTGAATTTGACGAGTCCGATCTGGGCGTTAGTTCCTCGTGAGGCATTCCTAAGTCTGCACGACGCAGACAACGGGGAATCTGACCACTCGATGTCTATCCATACATTTACAGTAATTAATCGGTATTGCAAATAGAAAAAATAGTGAATAGAAACATTTAATCGTACGATTATTTATGAATAATAATGAAAACATTGCATACTGATAAATAATCACGAGTAATTGTTTATTAACTATGAAAAAAAAAGAGATAAAAAATTTATATATAAAAAAGAGTATTTTATATAATACGCCTAAAAATATAAATCTAACAATTCGCATATTCAGAATCTGATTATATTAATTCATTTTTAAGTTACAAATAGATATTCTCTTTTAACTGAAAAGATCTTATGTAAATGATTATCACTAATGTTTATAACGAACTAACTATAATACAAATATAATTTTGTTGTAATTCTTTTTAATTTAAGATGAAAAGCAGCTTCTTTTTTGCATCAATTAATGATTTTTTTCATTAATTAATTTTTCACATTTTAATTTATAAATTTATTTTATATTTACACACTTCATTAATTTAAATAAAGAATTTATCTATAGTTTAATTATCAATAGATTGTTAATAATTAACACTTTATTACTATTTTTTATTTAATTTATCATGAATATTAATGACATTTTAATAGTGACACAAATAAATGAAAAGATTTACAAATTTCATCTATAAAGTTGAATTATTAAAGAAATAGAAGACAATGTGACTTAATAATAATAATTCTGCTCCTTGAATAATACTACTTTTTAATAATAAATAATACTGTTAACAACTAACAGAGTGCACGAAGACATTATTCTCAGATCCAACAATAGGCGTCGGGGGTGGTATCGGTAATGGGAGTCTGTTTTCCACTAGGCTGCGAACAATCGATACTTTAGGAAGACCCTCAGAACTCGACAGAATCACGGACTCATTTTCCGACGGCTGCAGATCGTGGTTACCACTTGCATAATATGTTACTCGATCGTCGTTTACACACTCCAACAGCTAAATTGTTAAAAGTAGCCCAAATTTAATTTCGAAGAGAAAGTAAATTAAAATGAATAATTTTTTTATATCACGATGTATTAAATTTATACTATAATAAATACGTTTACTTCGTACATTATTCTAACAAGTAACCTGTGATTAAAGGTAATTTAAAAATAAAGAAATAACGTAAAAAATTTTTAATGACTTTTGATTTCTAAAAGAGAATAATTTATGGAGCATCATGAAAATTAAAGATTTTTATTATTATAATATAACTTTTAAATTTTTGTAATATTTAATAAAATTATATTACATATTTAATAAAATATTCAATTAATGTAATAATTAAAATAGTTTAAAAAATGTAATATGCGTCATGAAATAGATCTATTTCTATTAAAATAAAATTTTAATGCATTCATAATCTCTTTTTATTCAAAATTAGTTGTACTTTAACTAGAAATGTTTTATTAAAATCTAAATAAGTTAAAAATGTAATATTAATAATTTCAATAATTTAAGAATAACATGTTTAAACTTTTATTCCAAATGCAAAGATGTCAACTGTTTTTATATAAAAAATAGTGCAATTTAAAAATACAATAGTTGTAAAATAAAATAAAATATATTTTCTATACTAACTTTATTTTCTTCAGAGATATTATCATCAGCGATATCGTGAGAGGCCACAAGCGGAAGTTCGCGTAGTGTTGCATAGTCTCCATCATCCTCGGGCCCACCATCAGCAATGCCTCGTTTGACTTTTCCCTTATTACTAAACATTAAAACGAAACATTGTCAATTAAAATTAGTGTTTCATCCTCGCAAACTTTGAAAAAGACTCGAAATAAGCCCTAAAATATCAAGCGTGCAGAACAAACAGCGAAATTTATATTATATATCTGCATGTTGGATAGCAAGGATTTCTTAATCACTGCAGTATAATGATTGTACTTACTAAATCTGAATATGGTTAACTGAAATTAATTTAAACACTAAAATTTATCACCACTTACTTATACTATAAAATAAATAATAATTTTATTCTGAGGAAAAATTTTTTTATTGATAAAATTACAAATAAAAAATGTATATTATTTAAGTAAATAATATTTATGTATGAGATGAATAATAATACCTTTTTAAACATTTAATTGAATTAACATTAATTATACATTACAATGTACATTGACAATGAAAATTAAAAATAAAAGAAATATGTGTAAGAAAAAAGAACATTAATTATACTTTCATTAATAAATTTTGTTATCATAATATTATTAAATAAGCTGAATTTAATATTTGCAAGAGGGAAATAAGAAACATATCAAAATATATGAAAGCTTTTAAATTAATTTGATTACAAAATTTGTTTTAGCTACATATTCGTTGAAAGAAAAATATGGATGTCAGTGGCACCAATACTTCTCAAAAGATAGCTAAGGAAAATTGGTTATTCGGAGGGTGCGGGCGGCGTGTATACAAATACAAAGGACAAATGGAATTACATCATTACAAATTTATCGAACTTACAACTATACGCAAATTAATTAAAGTTGTGCTTACCAGAAAACAGGTCTGTTACAATTTGCACTTGATGGATATTAATACGGATTATTACATAATTTCGTGAATCGCATAAATTATTTATGAATATAAAAAATATTTGCTTCAATTTATATTAAAACTACATTAAGATACTATTCTTAAAAAAAAAGTTTAGATAATGTATCTTACAAGATACTCTGCTTAATACTTTAATGTAATATTATTCAATTTTCTACCCTAATATTAAAGTATTGTGAAAAAAAATTATATAATATATGACATTAAATTTTACTGTAAACGACAATAGAATCAGATAAACTATAATTAAGACCTAAACTTACTTAAGATTACTTATAATGCTATAATTAAAATTTAATTGGATGCATGCTTATTGACAAGGATTACTTCTAAATACAGTTTACATAAACATATATTTATTAGAAGAGATTTTTGGTAATCTTTAATCTATAATACGAAACTATTCTCGGGGTAATTCTTTTACAAATAGCGAGACTAGACATAACAAATAAAATTACAACTTGTTTGAGTTGAGATTTAGTTACATAAAATAAAGTTCCTTATGTAAACATCAATACATCCTGTTACACTCGAAAAGATAACTCCTAACCGAGTGAAGCTTCGGTATCTGAAAAAATCATCTTTTAAATTCAAGCTAACATTCAAAAAGAAAAAGAAATATTGTTTAAGAAGCTCCACTCGGCTTTGCAACGCATCGATTAAATTTAATGTGAATTGTTATTACGTTAATAAGGTGTATCTGGAGTATGTATAATTAAGCGAAAATAAGTGAGAACAAACAGATACAAGGTGACAAAAAACAATAACAAGAACAAATGACATCAAAATAGGAGGGAATGGGAGTAGTTACCGCGAGCCTGACGTACTAGGTAGATCGTTGAAAGTGACTTTCGGTTTGAGCTTCTTGTTGAGCCAACCTTTGTCATGAATCTGGTTAGAACCAGGGCCCGTCACACTGTCCCCCGACTTCATTGGCGAGGACCTCAGCTTCGGCCTCAGCCAGTAGATTTGTTCATCACTATCTACCATCGACTCCCCATCCAATACATCCATGTTGTTGATTCCTGTCGCGGAATAAATATTAGATTAATCGTATTTATGTATTTATTTTTTATTGCAACAATCGTTTATTATCATAATAATAAACAACGAAAACGGATAAAAATGCATGAAAATGGATATTGGATATGCTTCTGTTAAGTGATTGCTACCAAAAATATATATATTTATTATATAATAATTATATTATATTTTTTACTTTTATTTGAAGGTTAATGTTAATATTTTTATTCATACTTGAAACCAATTATTATCCATTTTAAATGCATTTAGAAAGAATAATTATATAAAAATCAAGTGTAATGTTAAAAATATAATCTTTGTTTTTTAAAAATGAAATTCGGACTAATATTGTTAGCTAATTGTTATCTAGCCAAGTTATTATTAATAATACGGTTATGATTTGACACTTATAAGTGCAATGAAAGAATTATGCTAATTAATATTGTGTTTAGTAATCTCAGTGATCACAAAACATGAAATTATAAGCAGTAAAAATAATGTTATAATCACCTTGCAATCGAGCCTTTCGTTCCATAGCTGCTTTTTGAATAACGTTTATAATGGCCTTCTTGGGACTTGTATCACTAACTGTGTACGTTCTACCATTACCGACTACTAGCAGTGGAGTACCACTTCCATCATCGTCATCCCGCCCGGAGACGAGATCTACATCAGTCAGAAGCTTAACCGAACGAGTGGATTTTACAGTTGCTCTACCTATGGTCACACGCAATTTGAAGGTCCAGCGATGCTTTATCGTAAGGAAAACCCAGAGCATGAGCCAAAGTATGAGGTGAAGTACCGTACTAACAATGCACGCAAGAATAGCTCCGTCGAGGCTTCCGCGGTATACGACTGTATAATCATAGAGCAATGGTGCACTACATATGGCAATTGCAAGAAAAAGACAGAGGGCTGTGGGATGAGTTATATATATCCAACCAGCATCCTCCGATCGTTCATCTTTGGACATAATTACACGGCGCTCACGTTCTTGGTTCAAGAATGCTACAAACCTATGCAAGAAGATTACTTTTCATTTCATAGTACTTATTACCATTACTTATTATTATTATATTTATAGAATTCAAATCCTCAACGTGAAAAATATTCTTTGTATTGGTACTCGATACATACCTACCGTAAGCGTACAGGTACATGACCATACTCGAGCATAGCACAAGAAGTGATGAAAGGACGAAAATACCCAGAGTCACGTGTGGATTGAGCAAAAAGAAACGGTCACCAAAGAAACTCGATATCGCACTAGAAGCGGCAGTGACTGTACGATGTCGCAGCAGTGGTAGCACCTTTAATGGTCCAACTACTTGCACCTGTAAATCCAATACTACCTTGAATGATTGCTTTTTCAAAATTTACTTAGGCCCGAATATATTACCAATTAATCAAAGTTCATACTTGGATTCAGGCTTTCATCGTTATAAATACCCACCTTATAAAGAACTGACATGCCAGCATAAGCTAAGAGGCTTTGTGCGGCATTTGCAACCAGTTGAATACTGAAGATCGTACCAAGAACCTTGTTGCTGGACCAAAACACTGCAGGATATCTGACTGAGTAAACACCCAGAGCGACCACATAATTAAGATATTCCAGAGTGATCGGTCCATAATCTTCACCTACAACCATATTCACTCGGTCTAATGTAAATAATTCATTCAATCTTAAATCTTAATACATGTTCTAGATCATCTTATAACATCGATATTTTTTCGCAACTTTTTTATACTTTTATCAATTATTTTCCAATACAATAGCAAAATGAAAAAAATACAAGTTTTCTTGTACCCTAAATATCAAAAAGATTAAAACGCACCAGCCTCATCGGAATCCAAATTGAAATTTTCTGGATGATCAAGGTCAGCGAGGCTATTAAATGTTAAAGGCAGGCTCTGAGCGCTCATATTTCCAGCCCAGGTGCGATCCCCACCTCCACCACCATTGCTCGTTGGTTTAGATTTTGATGCTGCCAAATTCTTTTTTGCTTTTAGACGGTTGCGTTGTATGTTCCGGACATTCATCTTTGAAATTGGTCTTTTAGATGTTAATTGTGCAGATGTAGTTGGTGAAATCGGTGCGCTGCTTACTAATGATGACCCTGGTAAACTGTTAGTAAAATAATATAAATAGGTCTTTTTAATTATAGTACATTTATTAAGGATAATTATAATTTTTATTCAAGCAAGTAGCTCTTTTAAAATAATATTATTTTTTTAATTAATTAAATATTTTATATAATTTAAAAAATTCTTAAATTATAATATTTATTATATTCATGTCGATTAATATTTTAGTAATTGTTTTTTTAATAAAATGTACATGTCAATAAACTACAATTTAAAATATTATAAATATATGTGAAATATGCAAATTATAATTCTATTAAATGAAAATGATAATTACGTTATTTTTATACATAATGCATAGCGACTAAAAGAACAAATCTGATAATTATTAAAAATTATAAAATATTAAAGTAATGAATATTTTAAATAATATTGCAAAAATAATTGAAACAATAAAAAATAATCTATAGTTAAAAGTTTTTGTATACGGAACACTGAATATTTGATGTTAAAAAATTACCAATATAACGCTGTTCCATATTTTTTAAAATCTTATATGCCGAATTAATAGCTCGTTAAATTATATTTTTCGATCACGCATGAATTCATTTAATGAATTGTCATCTGTGTGTTTCTACACTCACACACTAAAACATAGGACTTTTTCCATAACTATAAGATACATATAATTTTTTATATACTCCATTAAATATCCTAGATATTCTACATCCCGATCTGTATTCAATCCAGTTTGTATTGAAGCAAAGTGCAATTTATTACAAATTAAGATTGATAATGCTCAATTAGATCATCATAAAAATATTAATAATTCTATTTTAAAGCTTGAAAATTAAAATAAGAGTTTATAATTGAAATTTAATTGTACTTAATTGTAAAATTAAGAGGTAAACAGAGATGCACATGTTAATAATGAACTAATATTTTAGATTTACTCAAAGTAAAATTTAAATGCCATGTTTTCAATTTAAAATTAAAAATAATTGAAATTCTGAAAATAAAAGTCCAACATAAAGGACTCTTTTAGTGTAACTTAAAAGAAAACTTCTCAAATTCTAGAAATTACCTTCCAATAAAGAAGTCAGAAGGCGCTTCAACTTCAGCTTTGGCTGCGCTATTCGTTGTCGAGCGGACTGCCGATGTTGGACCGTTGCTCGTCTGCACCGACAACAGAACTGATGAAAGTTTTGTCGGTATCAAAGTACTACTGTTATTAGTGCCATTGATCAAAACATCAATATCATCGTCTAGAGCCGATTGCGAGATTCCGTAATGTCCAAGGTTTAGGCTCAGATTCTCCGGAATGTTCATAAAACTGAGCACTACAAGACGATCGCGATGAACTACTACCCAATCAAGGTCTGTACGCCATATTGCATCTAAGAGGGTGCAAATACGAATACTGATTATAATTTAGAATTTATTACTTTTGTAGAGTTATTCAATTCTACAATTATTTATTATTCGATGTTTCTTTTATTCTACAAAATATATTTGTAAACTTTATTTTCAACTATTAAGTACATTTCTTTAATATTATATAAGCACCTCATTTTAATATTATATTAACATAATATTATAATATATAATATTTTCTAGTTTTCTTTCATACAATGACTTTTATATACTTGGAAACCTGATTCCATTTATCAATCCTATCTTTATAACAAAGATATAAGAGTAACAATATACCTTATTAATATTACATAAGAATTTACATTATCTATTAGTAAATTACATTTGGCCCTTCGAAGAAATTTTCAAAAATAAAAGCTATCTTTAATTGAATCTCGGACCTCGATAAGCTTGATTCTATCTCATCTCAAGTTTCTTTTAACGCATTCATATTTATTTCTAGACATAGAAATCAGTTAGAAGCTAAAAATAAATATATATTTATAAAAATTAATTTTAATTAAAAATTATTATTATTTAAACAAAAATTTATTATTTTTTTAAATATATATTAAAAAAATTTTCATAGTTTTTAAAAAGATTTATATTTTTTAATATATTTAAAGAATATATTTATATTGTTTACTATAAATGTTTACTATAGATTCAATAATTGCAAATCTAGTAATAAAAATACCTTCTTTGAACGAAATATGAATTAAAACAATTATAAATATAAAACTATTTAAGTTTTAATATTGTTTAAAAATAAAATAACTAACAAAAATAATAAGTAATCTTTAATAATATTCAGTATTTATAATTATAGTTCAATTAACATTATTAAATTTCTATTATTATGTAGGCTGTTGAGTTCAATAAATAATATGCAAATAAAAAGTAGTTTTTAATAAATAAGTATTAAATTTAAGTAATATTTTTTTAAATAAATTTAATGTGCTTCGTGAATAAATGGTATAACATTTACACATTTTAGTTATTCCGCTATACATTCAAATCAATAAATTGTGCTATTAATTTGACAGGTTTAAATTACAGTTAATATCATTTAAAATAATTAAGTATAAGGATATCAAGCGAAGTTTAATAAATATCATTAAATATCGTTAAATATCTATTTTTCACAGATGTTTGTTTATAATTATAAAGGAACAAATATATAAGGGAAACTGAACACCTATTTATAAATGCAAGTTGCAAGTTGACTATTTGTCTGAGAATGTACCTTCGTTATCGAGTTAATGACAGGAAACGCTTATTGAATAATACGGTGGTGAATAAGTAAGCAAACAATCTATAACTCCTCCGATATAAACATCTTCAAGAATCTTTATTATTTTTCATCTTGCTTTCTCTTTTTTCAGCTTATTTAAAGAGAAAAAGAAAAAACAGAAGAGAATCAAATTATTTAATTCTACCGAAATAAAAAAATTTATCTTAAAAAGACAGTTAAAAAACACCGACTTTTACTGTATGTAATCCTTTAGTTTTATTTTACCATGTACTAAACCATATAATATGAAAGGCAAGTTTATTTTAATGGATTTAGTGAAATTATTTAAGAAATAATTATTTTATTTTTCTCAAATAGCTTTTAGAAAAAAGTAGAAAGTTAAATCAATTGATACAAAAATGACGGAAATACAGTCGAATTTAATAAGTTACCTATATAACGAATTCGTATTATTTACAATAATTTTAAAATAATGACACTGGACCACTGTAAGCATTAATATAAAAAATCAAGAACGAATATTGTATAAACCGAAAAGAGAGAAAACCATAAAAGTAAATTTTGTATATAATTATGCATTGTATATTTTATATATATTTTCTCGTATAATTAGAAAATAAAACAAATCAATTTATTATTGTTATTATAAATCTGTTATTAAAAAATATGTCAAAAAATAATAAAATAATATTTTCGTTTATTATTTCAGATGCTGATGGACAACTAAATATAACAAAATATTGTTTTTATATTTGTAATCTCTAAAAAAGCATAGCTTCTTATTCTCGCTTTTAATCATCGCGTGGTAAATAAGTTTAGGGGAGAAGAAAGAATATTTAACTACAATGATAATCAATACTTCACTAAAGTTAGTGAATCTTTGAATATGTTCATTATACATCGTGTAGTTCAGATTATTATTACAATTCGTATTGTAAGGAATTCCTCTGATTTTTTCGTTGATTGTATATTTAATAATATTTTAACTTCTATATTTTATTGTACTGTAATTTTGTCTGAAACAAATTATCAAATAAATTTCAAGTGGCTATTATATATGAATATTATTGTTTGTCATTTTAATACATTTCTATTTTGTTTTTGTTAATAAAAATTTTTTATAGAAATAAATTCCATTAAAGTTTGAAATAAAGTTAATTTAGTGATTTATTCTATGTTTTATATTTTATTGAAAATTTACTAATCGTGTCTAGAATACGAGTAAATAGTAAACTCTAGACAACTCACATATAATACCTATAACTTTAATTTTCTAGTTTATATTAAACAATAATTATGAATTTTTTAAGCATCGAAAATAAAAATAGAATATAAAATCAATAATTCATTTTTCTTATCGTTGAATAATTAATAATAATTAACACATTGAAAAGTAAATTAAATTCATCTATATTTATATAAAAACATTATTTCAATTTTATTCACACGGAATTACGTTTTTCACGATTACTTTCTTCTTTATAATAATTAAATATATAGATATATAATACGTGATTCTCAATTTTCTTTTAGAAATTTTATTCTTTTAAAATTATATATAAAGTTTTATTTTATATCTACAATATTTTTTAATACAACAGATTTTTATAAATTTTTAATTAACACGAATTCTTGAAAATATTTTTTAATTTGATTGCTTTATTGATTTGATAACAAAATAATAATTAAATTTGTTATAATTAGCAAAAATAATAATTAAAAATATCTCAAACATTATTATTCAAATCGATTTATAGGCTAATTCGGCTTATTAAGTGTTATAAAAGAATTTTCATTTTAGCTATTATAAAGATATTGTACCATTTGATAACCTTAAAGTTCGTAAATCTGAAATAAGAAATTTCTTATTATTTGAAATGTTAAAGTTCTTTGTAAATTCAAACTACTTAATCTAAAAATTTCACACAATAAAAATTATTATAGTTTTTTTGTTGAAATGGGTTAAATTACAAATGGTAGATTTTAATTAAATAGGACTTAACAAAAATATAAGTATCAAACTTTTTTCTATGTCCATGTATAATACCGTATTATTATTATTTCCACCTTATATCTTAATTAATTATCTATCACTGGAAGTGTCACAGTGATTTTATCCAGTTCTTCTATTCGTTAAATGTTAAAATATTTAAAAAATTTAAAGATTAAAATACATTAGTATATGCTACAATCTTTAACATATATGAAATTATTTGTGATTGCATTATAAACTTATAAAAAGTATGAATACTTTATAAGATGTAATGCTACAACAACTTTTATACAAAATAGATTCACTAATTTCTGATATCTAAACTTCATTATGAATTTATGTATTATTAAAAAATGAAATGAATGCTTGAAAAATAGAAAATAAAATCATTACGATTTTTTTATATGGTTAAAGCACAAAGTTTTTGCTTAAAGTTCGATTATTAAAATACAAAGAAAAAATAAAAAAGAAGTCAACTAGCAGAATAACCCAATACGTAGTACATCTTTGTCAATCGGAACCCTTATTTTTCTTTACTAGATTTTTATATTCTATTTTTGTATGATTGCAACTGCACTGAAAGTCAGTTAAGCTATTTAAATTTAATACAAGTCCGTTACACATTAATAATTTAATAAAAACCAGCTGAGAATATGATTTTTTATAATAAAAGCTTGTAGAATGAATTATTTTAAAATTCATAAAAACTAAAATTTGATGCAAGCCGACGTATCATATTTAAAATATCCCAAATAATCAACGTACGTGATGAAAAGAAATAAAGATCATCGTTTAAAAAATTTTTACTTAAACCAAATTATTTATTATTTAGTTTATTATTTATTATAGACAAATACGATATATTTGTCATCTGTACATAAATTATTAATTCAAAATGGAAGAGCTGAAAACATGAGCGCACGAGATGACTAACGCATTAATTAAAACGTATAAAATTTGACAGTTGCATAAGACGATGATTGTTGTTGTTCTTATTTAAAGTATAAAGCATATCTCATCGAGGATATTAACGTATGTTTGTAAGATAACCTCAACCACCGAACAGTTTAGCAGTACAAACTAAAATAATTAAATATACTTATATCGTTATTTGAAAGGCAAATGTTCTATATACTCGTATATATATTATATATTTGAGTACATATTAATAAATTAATATTAAAAAGGAATTTTTTCTTTAACACATAATTCTTTAAAAAAGTACAATGGTTGTTTACACATAGATATCCATAAAACATTGCTTAATATAAATGACTCCATGAATATAAAGGTTATTTTTATGCACTATTTTGATCCATTATTAATCTAAAATTACATTGATTTCTAATAATTGTTTAATATACAATGCATTGAAATACGAGATGAAATATGAGATCCTTTCTTTGCTTCCAATTTAGATCACTAATTATTGTTCTGTACCATGTGCAATTCATATGCATACAAATACGTCATCCACTTTTCATTTCTTTGAACTTCAGAAATACTCCAAGGCTTGCTTTCTTAGATTTTACAATGAAATCAAATTAAGATTAAAAAAGAATTAAATTATTATTTTAATTAATTTTTCAATAGTAAAAGGATGAAACAGCGCCGGTCGAACTGCATATTCGCTTTTTGTGAAAAATACAATAGTTATGCTGCTCTTTCAACAGAATTTTCACCCTCTTAAAATGATTGTTTATATACGAAATAATTACATGTCCAAGTCGCCATAC